TGTGCCCTCAAGGTTCCCTTCCAGGTTTGGCCAGCTCCTGCCCTGGTATTAAATTCATTTGGCTCAGAGGACACATACTTGTGCACACGTGCACATGTCCCTGATGGCCCCTTGGCTACACCACAGAGGGATTTTGTCCATATGATCACAGACTGGACACTGACACAAGTGGACCTGGGCTGTGTGTCCTACTGGCCTCAGGTTTCCACCTGCTGGTGGTTCAGGAGGGCCAGGTCTGTGAAGATCCAATGGAGGAGGTGGGTCAGACAGGTTGATCCCTCCCTGAGGCTGGGCCATGGCCTGCAGCTTGGGGTTTCTGCTCTGAGGGAGTAGCTGCCTATTATGCCTCCATCCCAGGAGCCCTCAGAGTGCACTGGGGGTTGCAGAAGTGTCTGTGTATGAGGGAAGGTCCATGGAGTTGTCCGCATGCGCCCCATGGCCTGTGTTGTGGGTGTCTACAGGTTTGTAAAGGTTTGTAAGATACCAGAAGGTACCTGGACCAGGCCATCTGTGGGAGGAGCCTCTGGCCTCCAGGGGACGGACCTTCACACCACTTGTGACCTCAACCATGGGAGGGTGTCATCCTGTAATAAGTCACAATCTGCAGCTCACACCCGACTGAGAGCCCACCCAAGACTGTGATCACTGCACCGACACCCGCAAAGTCAAGGGCACTGGTTGCCTAATGTCCCTTCCCTTCAGCACCAAGGTATGAATGCCACACCTCCCTGTCATGTTGCCCACACTCAGCAGCATCTGAGCACACATGGCCATGACACAAACACATAAGATAGATGTCCCCATAACTGGACAGCAGCTCACCCCTCCTACATCACGTACTACCTCCTGACACGATGGATGGTCCCCTCCTTCCTCTGTGCTGCACCTCTTCAAGACGCCCCAGGTGAAGCAAAAGCAGGTCAATCCCTTCACCAACTAAGCTTAAAGGGGGCCAAGGGTCAGGACAGAGCTGACCATCCTTGTGGTGTACTTGAAACCTTCTCTGTGATGTGCCACCCATCCTCCCACATCAGGTACACCAAGCCTCTTCAGAACTGGTATAACCTTCCCGGCCCTGTGCCCGACAGCTGTGTCAGTCCTGGGTTGGGTCCTGGATACTGTGATTGTTAGGTCTTCCTGCGAGGTTTGAATAGACACACTCTTCTCAGTAGGAAGACTCTCCAACACTGGGCTCTTT